GGCGCGGGCCGGGCCCAGGGCGCAGGGGTGGCGAGGGAGGGTCCCCGGGCTCCTGCGGAAGCGAACCGCGCCGGCCGCTCCCCAGGCCGCTTTGCCGCTGCCCGCGCCCCGCCCTCCACGGTGTCTGTGCGGTGAGAGGGCTGTGGGCCAGGCAGCTGCGGGAGAAATGGCGGAGCGGGAGCTGGGCCGGGGGACGCCGTGAGGGTGGGGGCACGTTGGCCGCTCCGGGCCCTGAATCTGGAAAGGGGCCATTGGGCCCCGCGTCCTGGGTGATCTCCCTTCCCACAGGCGCCCGGTTGATGCCAAGTCTCCTGTCCGCGCGGTAGGTTGGCGATTTCAGCAAAAGGGGGACTGAGTGGGTAGATTAAGAAGACACCGAAGTGAAATGTTTACCCTTCTCTGAATACAAGTTTCATCGCCATCTATATTTGGGTCTTGCATGCAATGACAGGCAGGCAAATGACAGGGCGAGGAGTCGGTCGACTCTCACAGGAAGGATCCGTGTAAATAGTGTGCCGTTTAGTTCGGGATCTGTTCTCCACATCCCTGCCCACTTTACTAGGTTGAGGTAATGGCGGTTCAGAATAGAGGGAAAAGCTTTCTGAAGAGTCGTTTTAAACGCAGGGAGTCATTCTGCTGCTTTAATTTCTGGTTCTGGAAACCTAAACTCCGTCTCCAGCCACCCTTCACAGCCCCTCTCATTTTGTTTTTACAGGTAGTCCTGCAGATTTGTGGAGTTCCTGAGGGTGGCTACCTGAGGAACCATGGGAGTTGGGAGACATTTTTCTTACTTATCTCCTGATTGTTGAAAAGGAGATGTTAGGACCTGAATTGTGAGCATCTGGCCATTCACCTGATGTTTTTCTACCGTCGTCAACATATTTTCTTGTGTTTTGCTGAATGCCCCTCTCTCTTTCTGTAGGGTGTGACTTTTCTGCAGCTACAGGACTGTTCTTTGGTGTGAAGGATAGCGTCTCCGGAGGGCCCCTGCTCTGAGGGGCGGCTGGCATAGGTGGTGAATGAGGTAGGGTCTGTGTATGCATGGAGAAGGAGAAAGGGTGGGGGCATGCAAAGCTGCTATTGAAATAATCGTCCCCATTGTGGTTACTGCCTGCTTTCTAAATACAGTTGCCTATTTTCCACTACCCACGCTTGTGCCTCATTTTTGTTGGGGGGGGGTGGGGTGGGGAGGAGGGGTGTGGCCTCTGCTGGGAAAATGACTGACTTCAGAGTTGGGAGGTGTAATTAGACAAGCTGCAGATCTTAGAGGAATGTATGGGGACTCACTTGGAGTTGCAGACTGGTGGGAGACTTTTAACATGACCCTGAGTGTACAGAAGCATACGTAACAACACTTGTAAGGGTTGAGCCATCTCAATCTCTTCTGTTTTCTTTTCTCTGCCTTTTTGTCTGTCTGCAGGTTTGTTTCTTCATAGGTTCCTGTAGAAATCTGTAGGTAGCTGTTCACTTTGAATTTAATTAAGAAAGAGAACGAAGACAATTCATTTGGATCCAAGGTGAGTGTGAGCATAGTACTCCTATTGATTGGGGATGGGAATTGGCTGTCGGCAAGTGGGCGAGACCAGGTCATGTGTTAGAGCCATTGTCTTCCAGTATTCTAGACACCGCTGCCCTTAACTTTGTGTGTAGGATGCGGGTGTGGGGTGTGGCAGGATTGTGCCTGTAAGGTAACTGAAAGATACCCAAGAAATGGGGAGGGAAGCCATGAGGAGGACCAAGGCCAGAAACGTTACACAGTTGGCCCTTGAACGATACGGGTTTGAACATATGTGGATTCTTTTCATTCGACCACAGTTCGGTTGACGCGTGCAGTTCTCCTGACTGCCGCTTAAACCCAGATTGTTCAAGGTTCGCCTCTGTGGTTGGGAATCCATGTTTGCGGGGGGCCGACTTTAGTTATACGTGGGTTTTCAACTGCACGGGAGGTCAGCGCCCCTACCCCGTGCGTTGTGCGAGGGTCAACTGTATAACCAAAGCTCTAGATTTGGAAAGGCACAGGTATTGGGTTTAGAAACCAGAGTGCATATCTGCCTACCAAAACTCAGGATTCCAGTCCTCCCTGTGTTTCTGTCCATAGGTCTGCCTGCGGTTTCAGCTGTAGGGCTTATCGACGCTGGAAGCAAGGAAGGAGAAAATTATACCAGTTCAATGCAGGTTGGTGTGAGGCTGACCTGGATGGACCTATAGAGTATAGTGGTATATACCAAAAGGGCTGGATTTTCTTAGCCTCTCTCACTTTCAGCAAGCTCTCTCATCATCCCTGCTACTATTTATTGTCGGGAAAAGAGTGCAATAGTGCCTGGGGAGGACATCGTTGGGCATTAGTGGGAGTGTGGAAGGGATAAAATGAGGTAACAGTTTTCTGCGATTCCACTTCTACCCCACAGTCCATCTCTACTCTCTCGTGGCCTGTGTGGCTGTCTGCATAGATAAGCACAGTTGGAAGAGACTCAAAGCCCATTTCCTTCTTCCACTTCAGATCTATCTCCAGCGGTGGCCGTGGTGGCCTTGGAGTGGTGGAAGATGATCGCTTTCAACAGGTCTCCACTCGGAACCATCATCTTGCTCAGCCTGAGCACCTCTGCCCTCTGTCTGTGTCATTGACAGGCTGCGTGTTTGGAAAGGACCGTGAGGCTGCTGAACTGACAATTGGCTCTGCCTCTTGCTACAGAGTTTTTCTCTGACCCAGTGAGAGTGTCAAGACACGGACCTGGGACACGTTGAGAACCAAGGCCAAGGCTGTCTATATAACTGGGTTTCGGCCATGACTAGGAGTAGAAATAAGGCCAGAACTGCAAAAAAGGCTGGTATAAAAGCTGAAGCGAAGAGGGAGGTTGCTGACGTAGGCAGGCCTGTAGCCAAGACCCAGGCCAAAGCAGTAGCCAAGGCAGGGTCTCCGGCAGATGCAGTGGCAGACATGAAGGCAGTGTCTAAGAACAAGATTGCTATCAGTCCCAAAGCTGAAGACAAGGCTACTAGAGTATCTCGGTTTTGTTCTGTGGCTGAGGCTAGTGCTGGGTCCAGGTCCGTGTATAAAGATGAGGCTGGTATTGATGCCTGGTTCTGGGCTGGGGACGAGACCAGTGTTGGTTCCTGGTTCTGGAATGGAGAAGAGACTGGCGATCGTTCCAGTGCTAAGGATGAAGGTCAAGCTGATACTGGTCCCCCGGCCTGTGCTGGGAAGTCGGAGCCTGTGTTGGCTGGGCCTAGCTGCAAGGCTAGGCCAGGGGCGGAGGAGGAGGTGGAGGAGGAAGAGAACGTTATTGGGAACTGGTTTTGGGATGGAGATGAAACTAGTTTTGACTCTAGTCCTCGACCTGTGAGTAGGATAGTTAGGCCCCAGCCTGTGGATGAAATTAACGAAAAAAATAGGCCCAAGGACTGGTCTGAGGTAACTATCTGGCCCAAAGCTCCTGCCGTCACCCCAGCAGTGTTAGGATTTAGATCCCGAGTCCCCTCTGAGGCAAGGCCTCCTTCATACATTGTTCTGGCCTCAGCCGAGGAAAATACTCATTCTTTGCCTGTGGCAACAGCATGTTCTGGGAGCACTCCCTCATGCTCACAGCCTAGCCCTGAGTACCCCTTTGGTTCCGACCCTTGTATTGAGACCATAGAGGAGATCAGACGCCAGATCAGGATCAGGGAGGCGAATGGGATTAAGCCATTTGCTTGCCCTTGCAAAATGGAATGCTACATGAATTCTGAGGAATTTGAAAAACTGGTTACCTTACTTAAGTCAACTACTGATCCCCTCATTCATAAAATAGCTCAGATCGCAATGGGGATCAATAATGTTCATCCGTTTGCGCAAGAGTTCATTAATGAGGTGGGTGTAGTCACACTTATTGAAAGCTTGCTCAGTTTTCCTTCCTCTGAAAGGAGGAAAAAGGCCGTAATTACCCTGAATCCCCCTTCTGGGAATGAAAGACAACGCAAGATTGAATTACATGTTAAGCATATGTGTAAGGAAACCGTGTCTTTTCCCTTGAACTCACCCGGACAGCAGTCGGGATTGAAGATACTAGGGCAGCTGACTACTGACTCTAACCATCACCATATTGTCGCCAGTTACTTTTCAGAGCTTTTTCATTTGCTATCCCTGGGAAATCATAAAACCAGAAATCTTGTTTTGAAAGTATTTTTGAATTTGTCTGAAAACCCAGCTGCAGCCAGAGATATGATCGATACAAAGGCGTTAGCAGCATTAAAACTTATCTTTAACCAGAAAGAAGCAAAAGCCAATCTCGTTAGTGCCGTGGCCATATTTATTAACATAAAGGAGCATATCAGAAAGGGCTCAATTGTAGTTGTCGATCGCTCAGGTTATAATACACTCATGGCCATTTTCCGTGAAGTTAAAGTGATTATCGAAACGATGTAAAATGAGCCAGAAATAAAGAGAACACTTTGAACGATCGCCAAACTCTAAAAGGCTGGCTGTCCTCAAAGAGCGTTGCATAATGTTTTGTTCATTACAGTGTGCACATTATACATTCTATCTTTAACAGTATTACCTGTGACGGTGTCTAGGTTTAAGCTTGGACCATTTTTCAAATGAATATCACATCGTGAGCTGAAAACGTCTGATTTTTATCTCGTGTAAAGATAAAAGGGGCGCGTTCTAACATTTTACTTAATGAACCAGTTTATCCTAAGTAAGCTTACTTGTTCATTAGTTTCTGCTTAGATCATTTGTGGCTTCATATCGCAGAAAAAGAATATCCTTGAACATATAGTGTGGTTCAAGTAAGGCATGTGCACACTGATGCACTACCTGCATCAGATAACTCATTCTACAATACAGAAGTGGCCCGGAGGAGTCCTAGATAAAATGTAATACTCAGTTTTACAAATTTTGTTACTACATTTATAACTCTTATATTTGTTAGACTATTCATTTATGTCAGTCATCTCACAGGAGAGAAAGGAGGTAGGTGTAGGGAGGAAATATTTCCTGAGTATCTGCTCTTTTGTCAGGTACTGTGTTTACACTATATTTTACAGGTTTTTTTTTTCCTCCCCCCTTCTCGCAGTGGCCCTGTGAGTTAGATACTGGGAGTTTTTTTATTATTATTATAACTCATTATTCCGGATCACCTCCAAAGAGAATTAGGTTAAATGCTTTTTCCTAGATCCCCATAGCAGGCAGGTGGCATAGCTGATTCGTCTGATAACCAAAACCCACTCACTAAGCTACCTTGCCGTCCTCACTTTTCTTAGGTGGTGGCCTTGGAGGCTCAGAGACTGGGTTTAATGATTCTCTTTGCTGTGGATATTGTCCCTGCCAGCCTTGCAGTTCTTTACTTCCTCCAAATTCACACGTCCATCGGGGATTTGGCTTTACCTCTCTGGGATGAGTGTATGGATTTGAACTGGTCGTGTCTGGAAATAGTTGGTGCCCAAAACTATTGAATGTGTAAGATGTCAATTTGGAGTCATCGGCAAACGAAGTTTGCTGTATATCCTTCCTAAATTTTTCAATCTGTATGTACTCCCCCCAAATAACAAATCATTCTGTACATTGTGTCATACATTATAAAAGATAATTGCTTTCTTCCTCCTTGCAAAAATCATAAATTTTTTATCATTTATAACTTATTTCATATGTGTCACATGAAAGGCCAGAAGGCTCTATCTTTTACTTAGTAGACTAGCCCACTTCCTGCTTTTCTACCAGCTAAAACTGTACTAGATAAACTTCATTGGAGAAATTTAGACCCAGAACTGCAGCCTCATCAACACAAACCAGGAAAGCTAGCAGAGACGCTGCTGCCTCAACCAACATGATAGCGATTCCTGGAAGTCTATATGGTTCAGCATCCCCAGGACTTTTGGGCTATGGCTGTGATCTCTGAGGCTCTTGATAAGCATTTACAGGCCCTGGTCTGAGCCGAAGGGACTGTCTCGGTGTGTGAAAATATTGGGTTATGTGCTTTGAGATTTTTAAACAGTCAAGAAACTAAATATCCTATAAATACTGTTTGTATTGTAACCTGCTTTCCCCCAGTAACTACGTTGTGAATGTCTTTCCATGTTAATAAATACGCTTCTACAATATATTTTTGAATCACTCCATGCTTTTTGTGTGTTAACAGCATGTGCCTAATTTTCCCTTGCATATCCTCTTAAAAAACAATATGCACAAATTTATTCTCTTGTGAAAATAGGACTGTAATCTGCAACTTGCCTTTTCGTCTTTCCAATTATCTTTCCAACTTAGTATTATACATGCTTCTTATTTAACAGCTTTATTGAGATACGATTGACATACGTTAAATCATACATATTTAAAGTATTCAATTTAATAAGTCTTGGCATGTATACACCCCTAAAACCATCACAATCAAGGTAGTGCACATATCCATCACCCCCTAAAGTTTCTTCATGCCCCTTTGTAATCCCTCCCACCATACCCTATGTCTCCCCGCCCCCAGACAACCACGGCTCTGACGATACAGAATCATTCCCGTTTTCCGTAATTTTATATAAATGAAATCATACAGCTTGTATTGGGAGGGGGCTGGCTGGAGTCAGGCTTCTTTCACTCACCATAATTATTTGAGGTCCATCCACATTACATGTATCAATAGTCCTTGCTTTTTATTGCCAAGTAGTATCCCACTATATGGCTATACTACAGTTTGCTTATCCATTCACGTATTGATCGCCATTTGGGTTGTTTCCGGATTTGGGCAATGAGAAATAAAGCTGCTATCAGCATTCGCGTCCTGGTGTTTCTGTAGACATATGCTTCGCTTTTCGGTAAATACCTGGGAGTGGGGTGACTGGATCATATGGTAGGTTATACGTTTAACTTGTACATTTTCCAAAATACCATTTGACGTTCCTGCAGCAGTGTATGAGAGTTCTGATTTCTCCACATCCTTGCTAACACTTGGTATGGTCAGTCTTTTTAATTTAGCTATATATCATTGCAGACCTAATTTGCATTTCTCTAATGACTAACGATGTTGAACATCATATGCATATTTGCCATCCAGATATCCTGGGCGAAGTATGTGTAAAACTTACTGCCTTTAAAAAAAAAAAAGTGGCCGGTTCATGTTTACTGTTGATTTTAAGAGTTTCTTATATATAGTGGATACGAGTCTATTAATCAGATATGTTTTACAAATATTTTCTCCAGGTCTGTGGATTATCTTTTAATTTTCTTAAAAATGTGTGTTTTGAAGAGCAGAAGTTTTTAATTTTGATGAAGAACAATTCTTTTTACCAGTTGTGTTTTGGTGTTAAATGTAAGAAATCTTTGCCTAACCGAGGTCACAAAGATTTTATCCTATATACTGAAAGTTATACTTTTAGGTTTCACGTATCAGACTGTGATCCATTTCGAGTGTTTTGTGTACGATACAAGATATAAGTTGAAGTTCATTTTTTTGGCATAGCGATAGCCAATTTTTCCAGCACCAACCACTTGCTTAAAAGATTTCTTTCTCCACTAAGTTGCCTTTGCATCTTTTTCAAACATCAGTTGGCCCTTCCAAAGTTAGATTTTCTTCTGTCACCAAATATTTGACTCCTTTGACCCCTATTCACCTTCCCCCTCCCCCGATAATTTTTAATAAACAAACAAACAAACAAACAAAACAGTAGTCCCTAAATGTATGGGTCTGTTTCTGGACTTTTGATCCTTTGATCTACTTCTGTATCTTGATTATGATGCCACACTGTCTTGATTACTGTAGCTTTATAATGTCTTGAAATCAGGCAGTGTGAGTCCTCTATTATTTTTCAAAGTTATTTTGTTGATTCTTTTTCTTGCTTTTCCACATGAATTTTAGAATCGGCTTGTCAATTTCTACAAAAACTCCAGCTGGGATTTTGATGAGGATAGCTTTGAATCAATAGATGGATTAAGGAAGAACTGACATCGTAACAATGTTGACTCTTCTGGCCCATGAACAAAATGTATCTCTACTGATTTAGGTCTCCTTAATTTCTCTCAGCAGCATTTTGTAGTTTCCATGCAACATACCTTTTAGCATATTCTTCCCTATTCTTTAACATGTTCGTATATTTTTCCCCATGCAAATTGATGCATCCTTGTTGATATCTTTATGCTCGTTTGAATATTTCTGTATGATAAATGCCTTGAAGCGGAACTGCTTTGTCCAAGATCATGAAAGGCAATGCTCTCCAGCTAAAAACCACCAGGAACATGCTTGTATTTGAACAAACCGAGTTACAGAGAGGGGGGACACACACCGTGGGGAATCATGGAGTGCTTCAATAAAAGGGTTTAGAGATGACTTATTATAGGATTGGGACTTGTGTTAGGTGATTTGGGAGAGGATTTAAGGAATCGAGGCTTTGCTGTAGATAGAAAGCTCTCAGGAAGCAGGAGTAATTCTATCATTTGTTATCCAAATCACTCTTACTCTACAAATGGGAAAGACTAGACTAAGGCAAAAGTGATAGGTAAAGAAGTTAGCAGTCACTCATAATAGCCAGATTAGGGGGATCTTTGGTCATTTTTGTGATCGAGACAATGTTTCTCTGTGTTCATACATGGTTACAGAGTGCTCCTGTCTTTGTCTTGATACATCAAGTCACAGAGTGGCCTTATCAGATGTTAATGTTCTGTGAAACTGTTTATATTCAACAAGAAATCACCAAGGCCTAGTTGTGAGTGCGAGGTTAGCGCCTGAATGTCAGGGGCTGCTTTTCCTCTTCTCGTGGACATTTACAAATTTCGATATATATTACTTAACTGGCCTTTAAAACATATCCTCTCAACCCATGGAGCACGAATGTCTATTTCTTTATATACTCGCCAACATTCAGTATCAATATTTTCAATCTTCGCTGCTCTCAGAGGCCAAAAACAATCATCTCTGTGTTGTTCTTTATACCATTTTAAAGGTTACATAACAGTCTGTATTATGGATGTGACAATTGGATCACAATCATCCTGTCGATTTCTTTTAAAAAGTGTCTACTAGGATTTTTATTAGGATTGCATTGAATCTATAGACTAGTTTGGGAGAATAGGTATCTTAACAATACAGAGTCTTCCAAACAATGAAGATGGTACGTCCTTCTACTTATTTATGTCTCCTTTAACTTTTTAAGCAATGTCTTGTAGTAGTCAATGTACAGGGCTTGCACATCCATGGACAGATCATTCCTAAGTATCTCACGCTTCTCGTTGCTATTGTAAATGGCAGTATTTTTAATTAAAATCTTTGTATTTTATTTTCATTAAACTATCAGAAGCCAAATAAATGTTCGACAGAAGCTGTTGAGAAATCTTTTCGGTAGAAAACATAAGTTACTCTAGGATGCAAAAAGTACTTGATGCATAACATGCATTTGCCTGTACTTACAAGTCAGCTTTTATCTGTTATTGTCAATCTACTGAAACTAGGGAGAAAAATGTTCCAGAGGCAATTCTACAAGGTTATCTCCAGAAAAATCCATCACTAAAATAGTTTAGTGGCTTTGAAAATTTATGTGCATGGTCAGAAATGAATCTGTTGAATTATGGGGAGTTTTCTTTACACTCTGGCAAATCTACCTCAACGAATTCCTGGGATCTTGGGTGGTGAGACAAAATGGTGGGTGGGAGAGTGGATGGAGGAGGAGGAGAGAGAGATTGCCGGGAATGTTTATTATGAAGAATACTTGAAATTAATTACTGTGCATTATGCCAGTCCTTTTAATTTCCAGCACATATTGGGACTCAATCAGAGTGGATATCGTTTATTTTTCTCCATCTTTACTCAGCCAACATGGTTACTATGGTGACTCGGTTACTGCAGTGGGACTTGACGTGGTCCAAGCATCCAATTATGATTCTTGCTTGAGTCACTTGTTACTACGGTTTCTGTCAAGTATTGCTTTTCCCATTCTGCCATTCCTTCTAGAATTATTAGTTAGCATTAGACTGTAGGGTTGAGCTTTCCCTATCCCCTCTTGTGAATTAATTAATCACACCTAATTAATTAATTAAAACTAATTAATTAATCATAACTAATTAATTGTTTTCTACACCTAATTAATTAATTAAAACTAATGAATAATCATAACTAATTAATTAATCATAACTAATTAATTGTTTTCATTTATATAGGTGTGACCCTTAGATTCCCATTTTCTCTCAAAGGATTTATTAAAATTATATATTTTAATGCTCAAATGGTCTCAGAATTGGCCAGTGTTAGCCCTTCAAGTTGGTCTCTGTGACCATTTGACACCTCTGTCAACTTCCTTAAGCATGTATGTTCTTCTCTGAGCCTGTCTCCCATCTGTAGAACGAATGATGCACACCTCAGAGCATTGCCTTGAGGTCTTAGAGAGAAAACGTCTGAAAATAATAATATGCAATGTGTGGCATCTAGTATACCCTCACCAAATTTTATTTCTCCATTCCTACTTTACTCCTTTATTCTGTCAGTGTGATACCTCCGCCATTAGCATCATAGCATGAATACCAGAGAGAATACTTGGACATGTAACAGCGAGCAGGGATAAGCCCACGTTTCCACGACATGTGAGCTTCAGTGTCACTGCTGTGAGGGGAGGAGGGTGTGTGGTGGAGCTGGGGGAGAGGCAGAGTGTCATTGCACAGCTTCCAGTGAACTGAATGGAGACAGTTGAGCACATCCTCACCCCTTTTCCCTGCATTTCATGTGCTTTTCCCATTCTCTCATGTTCCTCTCTATTCCACGTGCTGTCTCATCCTTCTAGTAGTACGTCAGAGAGGTATGGACTCCGAGCCCCAGGAAAAGGGCAGATGCAGAAGAACTGAGTGTGATGTCAAGTGTGCCAGACAGGTTCCTGGAGCAAGAATGAAGAGATCAAGGTCCCGTCGTTGGGACACTTCAGGAAAGTCACCACCCTTTCCTCGAGCCTGATCTCTACAACCAGGTAGCAATACCCAGTGTTCCCAACCACCCAGAAACATTGTGGAGTTTTAAGTGTGATTCAAGTGGGAAAGCTATCTATGGTCATAGGCGGGAGGGAGGGACCAGTGCACTTTTGAGTAATTACATTGACAGAGGCACCCCAGATGGCACAGAACTCTGCCTGGTACACA